GGCACATTGGCTTTTATCCATCTTCCCTGCGGGTCTTCAGCGTGGGGAAGCCTGAGCACCGTGAATGTCCTGGATCTTTTCCAGCTCCATCCTGCACAAACATCCCCTTTGGCACCTCCACTGACCCATGAGGAAGCTGGTGAGCTGCCGCCCCGTTGACACAGCCAGGGATTTCTCTGGCCTGGGATGAGGGCAGGCAGATCCCCATCCTGCCCGCGGCGCTGGCTGCCGGACTTGCCAGGGCTTGGAGGCCAGGAGGTTTTCCCTGCCAGGGCGAGCTGGCACAGCCCGCATGGGAGGAAAACCCTGCAAACTGCCTCCCTGCCCGTGCACCCCTGCCCGTGCCGCGGGCTGCCCACGGCTGGACGAGAGGCAACACCACGGGACTATCCTCAGCCCAGCCCAGCTCGAGTCGTGGCTGGGGGGGTCAGGAGGGAGCCCCGGCCCCGCGCACTGACACCACAGCCTGGCTGCAACCAGCCCATCCCTGCCTGCGAGTACCGTAAGGGCCATGGCTGCTTTAAACCCTTTTATAGCACAAGCGGTGAGAGCAGCCAGGAATCACCACTAGCAGCTCTGTTATTTTACTCGCAAAACCTCAAGTCCCCCCCACTCCGCCCTGTCTTGAGGCACCACATGTCTACGGAGAGCACCCGCCGCGGGAGATCCCCCAGCTCCCCGCCGCCGCGGCAGAGATGACTCTGCTGCAGCCTGTATGGGAAGCAGATTCATTTCCAGCAGCCTAAGTTTCCCCTTAATTTGCCCCAGGTGTCTGGGCAAACCACGAAGGGATTTTTAACCCCTTCGAGCCACCCACCCCTCTCCAGATGGATGGGGGTGAGCCGGGCTCCCACCAGTCAGCTGCGGGTATGGGTGTCATTCCTGAGGTGGCATTTAACGGGGCACATCCCTGGTGCCTGCCTCCGTCCTCTACCCCACGCTGGCCTGGGCTGGCGCCAGCCATTGTGTTCACTTTTCCTGAGCATGCCAAACTCGCTGCTTGGGGAAAAAAATGGTCATTAAAATGTGAGCCTGACCCCAGCCCGGCGGCACCAGGGGGTTGTGGGGAGCAGAAAACTGGCTTGCTCAGGATTTTACACTCAGAAACTTGCTCCTTGCCGTGAAACGGGATATTTTGGGTGGATGTATGCGTGGTCTACTGACTTTATGGAAAACAGGTTGATGTATAGGAACAACCCTTGGGAAAGGGGTAGGAGGGCTCAGCATCCCATCCAGCCCAATCCCCAAACGCGCGGGTCGGATAATGGGGCCACAAAGCAACGTGACACCAAAACAGCTTTTCCTTTAAAACCCTCCCCTGGTGGGGGAAGCCATGAGATGCATTTTCCACTGGGCCGCCCGGAGTGGCCATTGGCCTCTTGGCGGCCCAGCCGCAGCACCAGCACTCCTGGCTTGGGCCAGGGTCTGGGGGAGCTCAGAGCCCGCCGCGAACCCCGGCGCTCGCTGCCCTCTGCTTTGGGTGTGCTCCTGCCTCTGCTGCTGCACCCATGGCTTCCTGCACCCTTGGGTCCCTGCCGTCTTGCTAAAGGGGGATTCAGAGGGTGGATTTTCGGGATGCTTTTGCTTCCGAGAGCGAAGCACGTGACTTGAGGGGGGACACGGCTGTCCCCTCGGTTGTCGCTGCGGGGCAGACCCAAGCAGGGCTGTTCCCATCTCCAGGAGCTCGAGCAGAGCAGAGGTGACTCGTTCCAGTGTCCCAGAGGGACACAGCGGGGACCCAGTGAGCCGAAGTCACACCCATGGAGCCCCATCCTCCTGTCTGGCGTGTCTGTCTGTCCATCCACCCCGCTTTAACCCCTTGGCTGCTGGATCTCAGGCGCTCGTGGTTCCCAGGCTGGCTTGGGCAGAGGGGCTTGGGCAGGACTCGTGCCAGTGTGGCTCCACGGCTGCTCTCATTCCTGCCGTTGGCACCTCAGAGCACACCCATCAGCACTGCCCTGCCTGCTGCTCGCTGCATCTTTCAGCTCTCTCAATAAATACAACTGGTAAATCTATTAATTTTACAGCTCTAATTGATGTATTGCTGTAATTACTTTTTATAACAAGGCAATTAAACGCTATTAAAGATTATTAGCTAATTAAAACTCCTCTATACACACACCCCAACCCCCTTATGTGCACAGATTTTTGTGGGGGGGAACTGGAAGCCCATCACATTCAGGGGCAGGTCAGCGCGGTGATGGCATGATGTGATGGGTTAGGATGCGGGACAGGGAGACCCAGGTCCCATCCCTGCCTCCACCACCACATCCCTCTTCATCCTTGGGCTCGTTACTTACTGCCAGGGCTCTAAGGGAGGTGGGATGCTGCGTACGCCCAACCCCGAGATTCGAAGCTCTCTGGGATCAGATGGGAAAAAACTTGGAGGCTGGGATCGTCTCGTCGTGGTAATAGGGTGGTTGGGGATGGAGAGTTAATGGTGCTATGTCTTGCTGGCCAGAAGAGAGGGCTGGAATGGGAAAATCTCCACTTGGAGGTGGGGTGTGTCTGCTTTGGAAAGGAAATTGCTGGAGAAATGGCCCCGTGCTGGGGCCGGCAGCGAGCGGATCGTGTCTGTTGGGGAGAGAGCTTGGAAGGTGTCTGGGGGATCGGGGTGGCTCAGCCCAGAGTGGCTCTGTCTCTGCAAGAGCAGGTGACAAAAGCCATGCACAGCCTGGAAAGTGAACCCCAGGGTCCTTGGAAAGAGCCAAAAGGAGCTGAAAAGGCATCCAGCAAGCAGTCCAAGGGCTCCCAGCTGGGGCGCTGCCTGACCCGGTGGCACGTCCCCTTCCCGCGTCCCTCCATGCTGGAGCAGCCGCGTGCTGGGGGGGTCCCCGATGCTGCAACTCCTCTCGCCGCCCCCGACCCGCAGAGCAGCTGCGCTTCATCGCTGCCCACACGTGCGCATCTAAAGTTTGCCTGGTGACATTTGCAGGCGCCCGATGTTTCCAGGCTTTTTTGCAGGCCAAAGAGCTTTGGAGGCTGAAATGGGTTTGAAATTCCAGGGATGTGACTGCTTTCTGCCTTCTGAGTCACGCCGAGGCAGATACAGCCCGTGCTGAGAGCTTCTCCTGGAGCCACGCAGCCTCCCCGCCACCCACCGCCCCTCGCCCGTCCCCCTTGCTCTGCTCCAGCTCCCCGAGCGCTCGTGGAAACCACAGGAATTCACATTCTGGGGCTGAAGCCTCGTGCCGTGTCCAGGCCTGGGCCGTGCCGCGGCGGAGCTGGGAGGTGCAGAGCAGAGTCTGTCCTCCCCGTCTTGCTTGTGGTGCAGCTCAGCTCGTCTGGTTTAAATTAAACCCCCTTGTGCCTCACACAAGGGACAAGCGGCTCTTTGCCGGTCGTGAGTCAGCCAGACCCAGCAACCCCCTCACGGCGATGGGCTCCTCTGTCTTCCAGTGTGTGTGCTGGGTTGGGATCCTCCACCCTGGTCTGAAGTGGGGCCGAGGGCATCACCCCGGCATCGTGCTTGGGGCAGGTGGGGAAGAGGGAGCAGCGGGGGCTCTCTGCTCCCAGGAGAAAGGGGTTTTGCATGGGTGCAGGATGGGGGCCGTCACTGTCCCGTCCCAGAGGGGCTCTGCGTAGAGCAACTAGTGCGAAGGAGCCAGCGTCTGACCCTCCGTGAGGCCTCTTTACTCCGGGCTGCCAACGCCACCAAGGAGGATTGCAAGAGCCCCGTGGGCTCCCCAGCCAGCAGATTCCCTCCAGGTCCCTCACAGAATCCCAGAATCATCCGGGTTGGAAAAGCCCTTGCAGCTCCTCCAGCCCCACCATGACCCTCCCCCTGACCCTTCCCAACTCCCCCAGATCCCTCAGCGCTGGCTCAGCCCGACTCTTCAACCCCTCCAGGGATCCCGGGGACTCCCCCCCTGCCCTGGGCAGCCCATTCCAACGCCCAACAGCCCCTTCTGCACAGAAATCCTTCCTCAGAGCCAGCCTGACCCTGCCCTGGGCAGCTTGAGGCCATTCCCTCGGGGCCTGGCGCTGGGGCCTTGGCTCCAGAGACTCATCCCCCCTCTCTGCCCCCTCCTGGCAGGGAGTTGCAGAGGGCCAGGAGGTCTCCCCTCAGCCTCCTCTTCTCCAGACT